TATGGCCAAAATTTAAAAAAAACCCAGAAGGGGTTTATAGCTTTACTTTTTTAATCAAATTGGGCCCCCCAAAAAAATGACTTTCTCCAAACTATGCAGACATTCTTTTCAAGGTAAGAGGAGCATCAATCAACATTCAAACACCCAATATTTTAATGCTTTTGGGCAAAAAAACATAAATTTTAAAGAAAAGCAATAACATTTTTGACTGATTTCACCTTCAAATGGTGTCAAAATATTCTTTTTAAAAGCTTATCTGTCCAGAAATCGAATGGGAGTGTGTTCTAGGTTCCTTTAGGCATCTTTCCAGCAAATTTGAAGCAATTTCATTTTTGGGGGGCCCAAATTGAAAAAAAAAGCAAGGGGGTTTACCTTACCTTTTTAATGAAATTTGGTCAAAAAAAGACTTTCCTCAAAACCATGCAGACATTCTTTTCAAGGTATTAGAGGAGTATCAATCAATATTCAAACACCCAATATTTTAACCCTTTTTGGGAAAAAATCATAGATTTTGAAGTAAAGCAATAACATTTTTGTCTGATTTCACCTCCAACTTTTGTCAAAATATTCTTTTTAAAAGCTCATCTGTCCAGAAATCGAATGGGAGTGTGTTCTAGGTTCCTTCAGGCATCTTTCCAGCAAATTTGAAGCAAATTTTTTGGGGGGCCAAAATTGAAAAAAAAAACCAGCAAGGGGTTAGCCTTACCTTTTCAATGAAATTTGGTCAAATGACTTTTCTCCAAACAATGCAGAAATTCTTTTAAACGTAAGAGGAGCATCAATCATCATTCAAACACCCAATATTTTAAAGCTTATGGGCAAAAATCATCAAGTTTTGGAGAAAAACAACATTTTTGACTGATTTTACCACAAACTTTTGTCAAATTATCCATTTTAAAAGCTTATCTGTCCAGAAATCGAATTGGAATGTATTCTGTTGTCCTTTAGGCATCTTTTCTGCCATTTTGAAGCAATTTCATTTTTGGGCCAAAATTGAAAAAAACACCAAATTTTTAAAATGAAATTTGGCCAAAAAGTGACTTTTCTCCAAACTATACAGACATTCTTTTAAAGTTTAGAGGAGCATCAATTAACATTCAAACACCCAATAATTATATTAAAGATTTTCGGCAAAAATCATCAACTTTTGGAGAAAAACAGAAACCTTTTTGACTGATTTCACTGCAAACTTTGTCAACGTATCCTTTTTAAAAGCTGATCTTCATAGAAATCGAATTGGAATCCATCTGGCAACTTTGAATTCCGAATGTGAATAAACCACAACAAAACAACAAAATGGCTTCGTAAAAGGATGCTGTGCATGTTAATGGTGCAAATCGAGGACGATCATGTTCAATATCATCGATGCATCGAGGACAGAAACCGAATCGAGGACTCCTCGGTTTGTTGGAAAACGTGTACAAAACCAATGAGAGCTGTTGCGAAAAAGTTCAGGTATAAACAAAGAAAAAGTGAAGAGGAACAATAGAAAATCCTCCATTTACACCAGTGTCTGATTGGGTTTTAATTTTTTGCTGTATACATTCTCACGTTACACATGTTACTTCTATGCCAATTTATAAAAATCAGTGCGTCCAAAATTGCTAATGCTTTATTTATGAAAGTGAATAACACCCCGAGTCCTCACATTCTACTATTTTTGTTTTGCAGCTGCATACCTCATATTGCATTAGTTAACAAGGGTTAATTTAAAGTTCGTTTCTAGTCTCGCTTTTTTGGTATAATAACAATGCTGATTTTGTTCTTATCAATACCATGACAATTCAAGTGTCATGTTTGTTACACATCTATAAAAGCCTTGCTTCTTCTTTCAACTTTGGATTCTTGAACTAGACTGATATATTATAGTTTACATTGTAATTTTCGATGTTGTATACATTTCTTTTTTTTGGGTGAAGTTTGAATACAAGTTAATACCAAAGTAGCGACTCTCAACAGTTTGAACTCAAAGTGTGTTTGTTTGATGAAAACATTCTTTAGATTGTTTGTAATTTTTGTTAGAACTTCTACATGGTAATAGATTATAATGCGACTTCAAAACACTTCAGTCTTTGTGAATAAGTGACTTGATCAAAGTTAGTTATTGTACAAATGCGAATAAACCCTTTTTTCTTAAAGTTGCTAAATGAAAGCTGTTCTCTTGAACAACAAAACTGTTGGTGAACCCAAAATTGTGTGCTAATTTGAATTTGTTGTTAGCTTTTTCAAATAGACCTACACACACAGTGGTATAATTTCTGGCTCAGATTGATAGCTGGTTATGGTTTTTGCCTCTTTACAAATAATTGCTGATCTAAATGGTATTTAGAGGACTTTGTAACTTCCGTTGCAGATGATGTTGGGATAATGCTAGATGTTTACAAGTTTTGTTTGGGTGGTTTGATTCTGTCGATTTTGTAGCTTGGATCCTGTCCCTCAAGCCAGTACGTCAGGATTTCACCTTTCCCCTGAAAAAAAAGAAGAAAGGCACAGGTCAGAGAATGATTGAAACAGTTATCTCTTGTTTCCTTTGAAATATGATGGAATTGATCAGTTGCATCAGTGAAAACTAAAGGAAGGGTAGATCATTTGCTACCTGTGCATTATTTTTTTGGTTTGAAGCAACAAAAGTGCTCAATATCTAAAGACGATTGCGTAACAACTTGATGAAGATTTAGCTCTGTGAATGCTGTGTATTCAGTGGAAACAGTATTCTAGGGTCTCGATTTCAATTCAAAAGTTGCCGAGTCATACTTTGAATTGTGCCCAAAATCAGCATCCGAGACATGTTCTCATTCAGCTGTTTGCAGCTACCCAATGTCACGCACTGAACCAATGAATAATATGTATGCGCGCGTGTGTTCGTCGTGTCAACGCTTGCACGCACCCATTCACGGATTCGCCCAATTACAAACCAACTACTAACAGAAATTTCCAAAAATGTGTCATTTGACATATCTTTGGAAATGGCTTTCTTTTATTGTGTTCTTCACAATGACAGCATGTAATGCCAGCAAGAAAAATTTCACAGGCAGTCCGACCAGCTGTACTAAGGGTGCTTTTCTATTTTTATTTTTGCTGTTATGTTCCTACTTGGGTCTCAATCATTTTGTGGCTGGACTCTGATGTTCTCTAAAAAATAGGCTCTTCTTGTGTCAGAGATGCCACCAATATATCAATAAAAAGCCTAAAACACTACTAAAACCCTGAAACTACCCTTAACCCCTTTCAAAAATGTGTTTTCTGGATGTTTCAGATCAAATCCAGCACTTTTAATTTGTCACATTTAAAAAAAACACACCTGAATTCAGGTTAAAACCTGAAAAGTGGCATTTCTGTTGTGTCCAGGATTTAAGCCAAGCCACCTTACCCCCACCATGTGCTATTTTTTCTACTACAACCAGTAACAGTCGCTCCAATATTACTCAGGCGTGAAATGTAGGGTATATATTTCCTGATTTTTAGCTTTATATCTTGGATACTTTAACATCCTCGTTTTCAGTTCTTATTTTTAACCCCCCTTTTTCCATTTTCATATCTTTCAAAGTATAAAATCGTACTGGTAGGCATCTTAACATGTATACATGTACATGTATACATGCATCAGGAGTTATAAAAACACATGCAGTGGTGATATTTGTGCAATGTCCGTTTTGTGCTTCCGTAGACAGAGTGAGGTTGCCTGTTTGAACTGTGAACTTGAATCAATAGCATTTTCAGTGCTTGTTTGTATGTTCGTATGTGGGTCTATATTCAACTTGAATAAAGACCATGATCGTAGTGTTGCTTTGTTATGGTACTGTGTGACACAAATAGCGACTGGTTTTTCTTGTGTTGGGTAAAGGAATTTAGCTGTTGTTGCACCATTCATCGCATCAGGATAAAGTATAGGCCTGACATGTTCACATTTAAGCCTAAGGCTTACAACTTACATTGTTACAAGTTGATGGTACTAGTTTTGCCATACTTTTTTTAACATTTGGCGAAAGTATTATGTTTGTGGTGGAAAACTTCAGCTAACTGTTGATTCAGTTGAAGTAGGTGAGTTCATTACATAGGCCTACAGCATTTTTGCTGGATTTTGCGCGAGTCTTTTCTTTTCGTGCATTCGCTTTGTTTTTGAACATGTTAAATATAGCCTATAGGCCTACCAGGAAAATTATGCATGAGATTTGAAGGAATGTTTAGCATTTCAGTAAATGTGGTGAGTGAGTAGGTGCTGTTCCTTCCCACCAACGTTTGAAATAAACATGATGCTTTTAGAGAAAAACATATTGAATTCTCTTTTCTGAATCGAAGTCAGAAATCTAAGTCTATATCTTTGGTCCTGTTTTACATTAGGGCCTATACTCCCATTTTATTATTTTTAACTCCCAATGAGTTAGCATGCAGTCAATATATACAAATGAATCTCCTGTTACATCTCGATTTTCCAGGCTGGTACGGTGTGCGGTAAACAAAATGGGTGCATAGGGGTGTGCACTTACGGGCAGGAAAGGAACCGGGTACCCTATTGAAAAAAATAAGGGTACCCAGGTACCCGTTAAAGAAACCCAAGCCAAACATTCAAATCTGGGAAGTTGCTGTTCAGATTGTTCATAAAGGTCCGCATGATAATACTACCACATCGGTGTGGCAATACGGCTAGAAAGGGTGTATACAGTGAGCTCTGTAGCTATGTGGTGAAAACCACAACTTTTGCCAGCATCATAAAATGTGAAATTGGTTTTGGTTTTTCCATGTATCCTGTTTTTCATTTTGAAAGTTTCCCACTGACATTCAAAATATTTCTTTTTCATTGACTGAGAGGTTACTAAGTAACTTGCAAAGTTGGTTACGGGTACTCGATTCCATATAGTCTGGAACTGATTCCTGACATTAATGGTCGGGTACTCGAGCACCGGATTCCGATGCACAGCCCTATGAGGCAATCACCTGTTTGTTATAATTTTGAACTTTTTCAGACATGGAGGTTTGTTCTGTTTTGATTAGGTCACACTTGAAATATGGCAGAGGCTGCAGCCAAAACTGTGTGGAAGATCAGCCAGGGGCATCTGGAATGTCCGATCTGTTGCTGTCTTTTCAAGGATCCCAAGATGCTAGACTGTCTGCACAGCTTCTGTCTAAAGTGTCTGGAAGAGATGATGAGCAAACAGAAGCCAGAGGCAGAGAAGATAACATGTCCAGTCTGCAGGAGAGAGACGCAAGTTCTTGATGTAGGATTGCAGAGTCTTTCTTCGTCTTTCTTTCTTAGCTCTCTTGTCGATGAGGTCAAACAACAGGAGGCGGTATTAGGAAAAGCATCGATACCTACCGCCACATGTGACTGTGGAGAAGGCAAGGAGGCCTCTTGGAGGTGTCTTGACTGTAATGATAACTTCTGCCAAGAATGCTGGAAAGCCCATGGGAGGTTCAAGTACACGAAGAACCATCAAATCATTTCATTGGGAGATTGGCAGAAATCAAAGATGCCTCCAGCAGAACATAGCCAACCCATCACCCGAATATGTACGATCCACCATGACCAGACGTTGTGTTTCTACTGTGACACCTGCGACACCTTAATCTGCTCAATGTGTGCCGCATTAGATCATCGGTCGGCAGAGCACAATTTCCTGAAGATTGATGACCTGATCAGGTCCTTCCGCAGTGAGGTCGATAACATACTGCAGAAGTTTGAGAAGAGCAGGCAGCGCTTCAAATCTACTGAAACCTCAATCAAACATGCACAAACAAGATTACAAAAGAAACTGGCTCATGCTCTAAGTGATATTGATGCAAAAGCGGAGGCAGAGATCACTAAAATCAGAAACAAAGCAAAGCTTCTCACCAAAAGGGTCGAACAAATCGGTCAGGAGAGAGACAGCGAGTACGAAAAGGCACTCTTGCACAACCGTGACCAGATGGAACGCGCAGATCAGACCATCGCGGCAGTAAATGACTTGATGAGAAAAGCCGATAATTTTGAGCTTTTGGAGCTCAAGCCAAAGGTGATGCACAACTTGGAATTCCAGAAGGAGCTCAAGTTTGAACCGGCGAATCATGGTCCGTCATTCATCGGTGTCAAATGTCACAACATTGTGAGTGATGAAGATCTTGGGGAGGTCTGTGTTAGCGAGAAATGGCAGTTAAAGGAAGAGTTTGGCAAAGAAGGTACCAGTGATGAGGAATTCAAATTTGCCAGGGGTGTTGCATGTTTCAGAAACGGGGACATCATAGTAACTGACACAAGTTTGAAACGGGTATCGTTGTTTAGCTCAACTGGGAGGTATAAAACATCGGTTGCTAAAGGAGATGCTAGGCATCAGTTGGAAGCTCCCATTGGCATTGCCGTGACCCATGATGATCTGCTTTTTGTCACGCACAAAAAGAAAGTGAAGGTTTTTGACAATGAGCTCCACTTTGTTCGCGAGTTTACACCTTCGGCTGATGATACCGATGGGCGATTAGAGAGTTTTCTCACTGCTGTTGCTGTTGACAGTCAACGAGTAGCAGTCGTTGACAGGGGGAGAAAGGTCATCAGTGTCCACAACCTGGACGGATCGTTGATTGCAAGCATCTCAAATAACATGGTTGACTATGACTTGGCAATAAGCAATTTTGGCTGTTTAGTCTTCACAAACTATGAGGGCCAAAGTTTGCTGTGCGTTAACTTTAAAGGTAAAGAGATGTTCAGTGTCAAGACATTCATGAATGGCAAAGCTGCTAAGCCAACTGGTGTCCTGTGCGATGATGATGAGACCATCTATGTTATTGTTAATTCTGAAAATCGGGGAGACTCTGCAGTGCAGCGTTACGATTCAAATGGTGCATTTGTAGCAACAGTAGCTCAGGGATTGTACAATCCGTTAGGAATGGCGTTCACCTCCGCTGGCGACGTAGTTGTCACTGACCTGTACTCCGTTAAGATCTTTGAGCGGATGTGATTTGCCTGATTATGGCCCCTCTGAAAAACTAACCGCGGTACTTGAACCGGGGCTAACCCATAGAGCTATATTAAATTACTAGAGCGCTAACTCTTCATTCTTGTGCACGGGGACGCTTTGAAGCCGCTCTGGGCGCAGACATTTTGAATTGATGTGCGTGTTTGTAGAACAAAATCAAAATAGATGGATTGAATTATAAAAGTGTACTCTAAATACAACGCGCAAGTACTTACGCAAACAACTTAAGCGCGTCACAATGGTTCAAAAAACGTCACGGCGAAAAGCATCTGCAGCGGAGGGACGCGCATAAGTTGTGCTGTTTGCATAGAGCAAAATAAAACGCTCATTTGGTGATCGTGCGTTTCGGTTTTGGGCGTATCGGCTTCGATAACGCACCGGTATGGTATACGCAGATATGTAAATAGCCATACAAAATTTCGAGTTTTCCATAGGTTTGTGCACAAACATGGATGCGCCCATGAGGCATTACTCTGTACGTCGAGTTAGCGCTCTAGTAATTTAATATAGCTCTATGGGCTAACCTGAAATCCGATGATTTGCCTTACACATTACAATAAGTATGCACGGGCTAGGTAACAAACATTAATGAACTATGATATCATCACTTCATTTACATACAGCCAATTACAGCGCGCAGTGGTTCGGGAAGTAATGAATAATCATTTAGTGATCATGCGGCAACCCTATTTGAATGCATGCATTCACAGTAAACAAATAATAGTCAATCAGCATGCAGTACTGTGCGTGAAGAGCTAGCTAGTGGCGAGTTGCACGTGTGAGCGCCCTGCGCGCACACAAGCCAAAATTGGGTCATCAGTCGATTATACAGTAGATCAACCCTTCAGATTGATAAATGGTTCATGAATATTGCATAGGTACATACAGTAAAATTTTGAGAATTTTATTCAAATTTGGTTTGAATATTCACTAGAGTTGACAGCAACTAGCTGTGCAGTTACTTTATGAATAAACTTTGTGAGTGACAGGCAAATAGACCGCCCGGAGGCCATCTGGTCGGGCGACTCGGCGCCTCAAAAGCATGTATTGTTAATGGATGTCTGACAGAGTCAGTGTGCCGAAGTGCAAAAGTTGCCGCCTTTTGAATTTGATGGGTACCCACATACAATTTTTCCACAATCGGAAATATTTGGTTTCTACAGCAAGCAGACATACTAAATTTACATGGTGTACAGATACTATGTTAACTTCAGAACCCGTTTCTTTTAGGAGTTGTAGTTTCAGAAAGTAGAGGGTGTATGCATTAGCCTATATACCCATCTGTGTGTGAGTACAGCGCATATTTCAATGCTGGTCATATGTATGGAGGATGGCAATTTATGAAGGCCCCGCAGAACATTACCTGTTGCAGTTGAACCAGGGCTATTTAGATCTGCTACATACCTGAAATTATAATATTTACCCAGATTGTAAAACCCGTTCAAAATTGGATTAACTGGTAACGTTGGTGTGTTATCAGTTAATCTCCCTCAATGCATTTCGGCATGTGCATTGGCCTCATAGAGCTATATTAAATTACTAGAGCGCTAACTCGTCATTCTGCGCGCGGAGACGTTTTGAAGCCGTCCTGGGCACAGATATTTTGAATTCATGTGCTTGTTTGTAGAACATAATGAAATTAGATAGATTGAATTTTGTACCCCACATGCAACGGGCAAGTAGAACATACGCAAACAACTTAAGCACGTCATGACAGTTAAAAAAAACGTCACAGCAAAAAGCATCTGTAGCAAATACGCGCACGCGTTGCGCTGTTTGCGTAGAGCAAAATGACTAGCTCATTTGCTGATCATCCGTGCATGGGCGTCGCCAGGAGTTTTTCTAGAGGGGGGCAAAACATATTTTTCCCAAAAAATTCTTGTATTTCTCTCGTTTATCAGTTTTAGAGGGGGAGGGACATTTTGTCCCCCCCCCCCCAACTCATTAAATTTACACCACTATGACTTCGCACCTATTTTTCTTTTCTTTTTCTCTCTTTTTTTGTCTTCCTTTTTTTTTTTTTTGCTTTTCCGGGGAGGGGGGGGGGGGGAAAGCACCCCCCCCCCTTGCCCCCCCTCGCGACGCCCATGCATGCGTGTCCGTTTTGGGCGTATTGGCTTTGATAATGCACCGGTATGGAATACAAACGCAGATATTTACAAAAGCCGTACACAATTTCTAGGTCTCCATAGGTTTGTGCACAAACATGGATGCGCCCAGCAGGCATTAATTTGTACATGAAGTTGGCGCTCTAGTAATTTAATATAGCTCTATGGTTGGCCTACACAACGTTATGGGAAAGTTTTTAATGTTAGGCAAATTAGGACCGAGTTATGGGGACTTTCTGCTGTCCCCACAGCATTTTCGGTCCCACAAATGTATGAGTATAGGCCTTTGGTGTACTCTCCAGCAATACAGTCAGAAAGAGAAATCATGGAAGAAATCGTGGAAGAAATCATGGATAATAAGTTGAGAAAAAGAAAAGGGTTGAAAATTTCTTGAACAGTATAACAGTTTTTGATAAAAAATCTATTTGAAGATTGAAGGGACCGTAACTTCTTAAATTCGGCATTCAATTCACAAAATTGAATTTACTACTGTAACGTTGTAAATATGGTCATCACTGTTTGTAATGTTATAATAATTAAAAAGTCCATAAGTTTTATATGAGGTAGTATCAAATGTCTTAAATCTTAATGAAGCAAAGTTTGCCAATTTTCATTTTGTAAAAGTACACTGTATATGAAACACAATGGCACGTGACTATGTAGAAATTCAATTCAAAGCTTTGCACATTTTGCATGTTATGTTAATTCCGTGGATCACAAAACTGAAGACCTATCACACAAATCATTTGTGTAATGTCCATTTTGTGCTTCCGTAGTAAACACGGACAGACTGCCTCATTGAACTCTAAACTTGAATCAATAGCGTTTGTATTGTTGGTACTGGAAAAGTGTACATGACGTTGGCTTATAGCCTACATAATGATATGTACATAAAAGTGTACATGTCCGTATACCGGTCGTGTACAGTGAGATTAGAATAGCAACTGGTTTTTCCCATGATGAGTTATTGCCATTACTATTGTGGCGGGAATATCTGTGACCCGATCCGTAGTCCCTTTACCCAGACAACCTAGCTAAGGATCAGTACCCCAGCAGCCGGGAATGCAGGCCCGTTTGGATGGAAATATACCGCCTATACGCGTAGCAGCACTCACCCACGCCCCTCAACCTTCAAAGATGGACAAGGACAGACAATTAAGTACACAACAGTCAATGACCTCAATTACTGCTTGATTTATTTACACAGAATCAATGTCATATGATGGACCTCTCGTTAAATCATAATGTTAGCCTCTAATAAGTGATTGGTCTCCGAGCCTCTCAATTATCTCTGTAGGGGTAGCCTCGCATTAGCTGCTACGGTAAGGCAGTGCTGGGCAGCACGGCGATGCCTGGCTGGGGATAGCCTCTGAATCCCGGGTAAGAACCGTACGCCTCACGCGTTCCTGTGCGCCTCCACTCTCCCGCCCTCCACCGTTTCCAGTCGCGAGCCTTCCTCGAGGCGGCGGGTAGATGAGCGCGCCCTTCCGGCTCCGTCACGTTACAATCGGCAGATCGCTGTATGTCGCTCCGCCTCCAGTAGCCTCCGCGGACTCCGTGCCTCCTTATGCCAGCCCGACTTCACCGCACCACCCAGCACACGCCCGTCAGCGCGCGCAAGCTAAGTTGCCTACCGTCTCTTCCCCGTAGATGATCTCGGCGTACGCTCGGAAGGTTGTGTCTGAGATAAGCCTAATTTGTGACTGTGTGTGTCTGAGCTGTGTCTACCTGAGCTGAGTCTGTCTCGCAACTGCTCCGGGGCCTTATATAGGGCCCACAGTAGCGAGCGCGCCCTCTCTAGACTACGCTGCTATAGTAATTTGCGCCACACTATCTTTAAACCAAGTATGCATAAAATATAATTTTGTCAGTTACTTTTTGGATAGCTGCAAATGATCTACTCTTCCTTTAATTACATTTGGCAAGCAAGTTCCTGGTCTTGTTCAGGAGTTTACCCAACCTCGTCCCCAGTGCTTACTTTATTTCCAACCGCGTTTCCAATAGTAAACCCTGGATAGGAAACTTTCTTCCTGTATCCTGATTGGATACCGCAATTGGCTAGTAATGGATTTTTATCGTGTACTTGGTGCTCTATATTCACAACGTGCAGTACGTGTTTTCGCGATCATTCGTCCACGCCTTCTCGAAAATACTAATTTCCTTTCCAATATGCTCATATTAATATGAAATATGATACTGCATGTTATCCTGATAAGATCGTAACAGTTTGATTTCAAAAATCGTGTTTTCGTAACTCACGCCGTGCTCGCGCTGCTACGAATTGACTCTGTTTTTACCCCAGACACCGCATACAAAAACAAACGCTAATGTGTAACGCATATCCAGGCACCAGACTGTTCCTCATTTGCATACGTGTGCAAAAATCTTGCACATGCAAATGATCCAATACCAGGGTGAGAGAGCAGGTAGGGGTGGGCGCGTACTGCTCGACACCCTGGGGACGAGGTTGGAGTTTACCTATTACATGTACCTTCATCAGCCGGTCAGTATAGAGTACCAAAGTCTGACGTCAGCTGAATTTGTTCTGATTCACGCGCTGGTTTGTGCGCTGATGTCTCCACACACTTTAGCTATGCGCGAGACCCAGAATACGCGGCACACTTCGGTACTCTATGCTCTTTGAGGTATGGTGGACCCAACTCGAGGGCGCTATAACCTAGTTAGTCTTGGTAAACTCTTTTGTATTTACCCAAATTTTACCAAGACCGTAAAGCATCCACCTGATGTGTCCGTCTTGTCTCATTAAGTCTAATATTGTCTACACGTGGTTTTTAAATCTATATACAGATTGAAGGTGCTCTATTTTAATGGACCTAAGGTTTCAAAATCTCAAAATGTATTATATCTCACCCACAGGTTCTATCTCGATCTGGCATTCACTATTATTACTGTCATGCCACGTGCACATGTGGCAGGGCCAAGTTGCACTTGTGATTTTTCATAGCGTAATAAATAG